GCGGAGCCTGGCTCTGAAGGACTCTGCCTGGCGTTGCGCCCTGGCGCGTCCCTGACCTCGTGGGGCGCGCCCCTGCCTCACCACTTCCCGGGGGTGTCTCCGGGCAGCCTGACCCCCTCACGGGCACATCTGTCCCCACGCGCTGTGCGTGCGCCTGGCCGTGCGTGTCCGTGCCGTTCCTGGGGGGCACACGCGAGGGAGGACCGGGCCGCAGGCCTGCCTCCTGGGAGGGAAGAGGGTGAGGGTGGGACCTCACGAGGCAGAAGTGGGCGTAGAGAGCCTGGCTTCTCACCAAAACGTGCTTTGGGATTTGGTTTTAATTTTGTACCGTATACTTTTATTGTTAAAACTAGTAATACGAGAAAGACAGTTAAAGCAGACAAGCCAAACCCGAACCCCGCCGTTGACCAGGCTCAGCTAGCACAAGCCCGCTGACGCCCGGACAGGCAGCCGCCGGCAGCCTCTCGCCCCTTCCCGTGCGCCTGCGCTCCGGGGACACGGACGCGCTCCCTTTGCACACGCGCCACGGGCTCCTGCGGCTCCTCTCTCCTGGGGCAGCCCCTCCTCTCAGGAGTCCGCCTGGGGGCCCGGGTGTCCTCTGAGGACTGGTTCCAGTGGTGATGCTTTTGGACCCATCCTGACCTAACCCTGCAAAGAATTATTTTTCCCTCCCTTATGTGATTCTTAGCAACTTTCCACATAACCCTAATACAACCTGTTTTTAGTGATATATTAAAAAATGTACATTACAAAAAAAATGAAATTCTTAATCTGTAACACAGCATGTCAGGCACATTGTAGAGGTTCATTAACTGGTAACTGGGCTCAATTTGAGGACTTTGCCTTCAGCAAATTGGGCATGTGAACCAGAAGCAGAACAGCTCCGGCCCCGGAGGACAGATGGAGACACCGCCACGCCGTGTGATTTGCAGGAGAGGGGGACCCAGCACTCGGAACGCAGCCCGGAGGGCTGGTTCTGGCCCGTCCCGGAGCAGGAAGGCCGATGCCATAGGTGCTACCTTAACAGAGAAGGCTGTGGGCGTCTCATAAGAGGTGCTGACGAGCCAACGTTGATCTGCTTCACCCACTTATTTTGTGTATTAGCATTTAGTTATTCTACTTTCCTCTACAAAAATAACACATTGTCTCTGCAAAGGTCTTACTATGCCCAGAGATTAACATATTTCGGGAAAAATTGGGGGGAAATTAGTTCAGAATAAATACATGTTAATCTAAACAGCTTTCAGTCAAGTTGACTATTAAAATTATTTTTGAAACATGAATTATTGTATGGACAGCCATATGAAAAAATTCTGAACAGCAAAACAACCAAAAGGAGATGTTCCCAAATCTCTGGAATAAAGAGACAACAGAGATCAACTCTGAGCAGTGGGGAGGCAATTACGTGTTCATTTTTCACTCTTTATCCTATTTCCCCAGCTTTCTACAGCATCTATTATGTAATGGGAAAAAAATCTAAAACCGAATAATTGAGACATCTTTCAAGGGTTTGCACGCAGCAGCCCTAATCTTTTAAAGAAGCATGTTCTTTACCAAGTTTTGAACATCAAGGTACTTGCAGCATTTAGTTCATTATGCCAGTAAGTTTTCAAAGGACTTCATGCCCAGCACATCTGGTTGGTCTGGATCATCTGACGGACAATCCAGGTCAACACCCTCTGCTTTTGCCCAGAGTCCATATGGACTGACTGAGTGGGGTGTGGAGAAGGTCCTGGACCTCAGTGGGGGCGCTCCTGGCCGTCCACCGTTGCTCCTTCTCTGGATGAGAAGAGCAGGTCCAGCTCTGCCACGTGTCTGCCACGGAGCCCGCGGGAGGGCAGGGCCTGTTCCCAGGGAGGCGTCTGTTCCTAGGGAGGCCAGCTTGGCCACAGACTTGCTTAGTCAAGAGTGTGAGCAGAAGTGACGGAGGGGATAAATTCTGGGACCACCACAGCAGCGACGTTCCCACTGGCCCCAGCTCAGGTAGTGCTGCTGGTGATGCTTGCCGGGGGCTCGTGGTGAGTCCAGCATTTAGCACCTTCGACGTGCTGTGTCATCAGGCTGTTTTACAGATGCGGGATCAAAGACTCAGAGAGGCTGGGACTTCGCCCGAGACTGTCAAACAACACAAACGCGGTCTCCACTCTCCCTCCTCCTCACCAGGAGGCAGTGAGGGAGATGGGTTGGTGCGATTTAAGACGGTTAAAGTCCTCACGTGCTGGGTTCCTAATTTTCCATCCATTTATTAAACGCCTGCAGGCTTCACTCTATGCCGTTCGGGTGTCCACAATCCGAGGGATCCGTGTGCTCTGTTTAGAGTTAAGGACATGTTCGTGGACACTTAGGAATTCTTTCACAGATTAGGCACACAAGTCTGTGTGCTTTTGCGGTGTACTCGGCGCATTTTACTGCTAGAAACTAAGTGTCCTTCTCATCTCGTGCAAACGGTACAGGCCAATTTATAACCCTGTTAAAACAGATGTCTAAACGCGCCGTGCCGTGTGCTAACTTAGGGCAATATGTACCATGCAGACCTCGGGGGCATTCGGCCGAGTGAAATAAGTCAGAGAGAAAGACCAGTCCTGTATGATCTCACTCACATGTGGAATCTTTTAAAAAATAGAAAGTGAAGTCAGATTCTTTGTGGTCACAGAGGCCGGGGGTGGGGGTGGGGGAATTGGAGGAAGGTGGTCAAAATGCACAAACTTCCACCAATTTTCAGTGCTGGAGATGCAAAGTACAGCGTGATGACCATCGTTGACACTGCTGTTTGGTGTATTTGAAGCTGCTGAAGAGAGCAGATCCCAAAAGCTCTCATCACAAGGGAAACAAAGGTTTTTTTCCTTGCGTTTATGTGAGGTGACGGATACTAACTGACCTTGTGGTGGCAGACACTACCCTATATGTGTAAGTCAAGTCATTCTGCTCTGCACCCAAAACTCATACAGAGAGTATGTCAGTCACATCTCCTAAAAACCGGAAAGGACAAATAATTTGACACTTGAGACGTGTGTGGGTATCTAATGAGGTTTGATTGTAATAAAAAGAAATAATAACATAAACTCTAATGTTAAAAACATACCTACAGATAATGAGTTAGAAAATGTACAGAAACACTATGGGACGTTGCATCTGATAAAACTCTAATACTGCACATTTATTACATCTTGTCCTGTTGTTTCACAGAAAATGATTCATTTAAAACTATGTAAAGTTAATCTGCCATCAAGTCTAGGAAACACGAAACAAACCACTTCAACTTGACAAATGTGCCACTGACGTTAACAAAAATAAATACATTTAAACGTCAGAATTAAACACAGTCCCTCCCAAATCCTGCACATAGAAAGGAAATAGCTATTTGCCTTCTCACTTACTTTGCTTGCACTAAAATGTAACAGAACCGGCTGTTGAAAATATTAAATTTTATTACAAACCAAGCAAGTAGGTTAGGTGGACAAAGTTAAGAACTGGTGCAGAAAAACACATCTATATACGTAGCAGACAAGTGATCTGTCATTTAAAAATTATAACTAAAAACAATTATATTTCTTCCTATAGAGCTTACTAGTTACCAGAGACTTTGGTCTGTGTTTTGTCATTTTCAGGCCAAATGTCATGTTAGGTCATTTTAAAAGATTCCACATGTGAGTGAGACTCGTGGATGAATATTAAATCATTAATTCATTTATGCTTCTGTCAGAGTATGTTAAATCACCCCCATCTGGCAGGCACCTGGGGGTGCTGGCCTCCCCTGGGGAGGACGTGTGGCTTCTACCTTAGTGGAACTTACACAGCAGTGGGGATGAACTCAGAGGGTGAGTCAGGGTGACAGGGGGCCACAGAGGGGAAGGTGGGTGGTCCAGTGGACTTTACCTGCAAGGCCCCTTTTCAAGAGGAAAAAGAAAGGCACCTGCTCTATGACATTTTCCAGTCATATTTTACCAAATTTAATTGCATAGAGGATTAAAGTTCAATGTTTCAAAATTCAGTGAATTATTGCTTTTTAATTAATCAATAATGGTCAAATATATAAACAAATAAATGTGCTAGTGGAATACCCGTATGTTCTCAAAAAGGAAAATATTTCTACAAATAACTCCATTCTCTGACCGTATTTTTATATATTCAGTTCAGTGGTGTCCTGGGAAGTGTTCACCAGCCAGCTTTCAAGAGAAGCAGACATGTTAGAAAAGAAAAGAAAAAAGGAAAGGAAAGGAAAGGAAAGGAAAGGAAAGGAAAGGAAAGGAAAGGAAAGGAAAGGAAAGGAAAGGACACGCAGGCAAGCACACGGATTTCCATGATGCTGTGGCTTCCAACACAGAGAATGACAACCCACCAGTGTGACACTAACCGACTCACACAATTCTGAACATTCGAAGCTGCCTTTCTCACAGTGGAACCAGCCGACTCCAGCATGTGGTTATTTAGTTTCTGCGATTCTTTAGACTTCAGTGAGTTATAATTGCATATAGTAAATTTCGTGTATCTAAACTGTAAGATCTGATGCTCTCTCACGTGTCTGCACTCAGGAAGCATCACATGCACACACAACATCCCCGGCACACCCTTCCTCTGTGCCTTCGTCGCCCTTCCCTTCTCTGCCCCTCCACCCACTGTCTCCTCCGCAGGCAGCTGGCCTTCCCATTCCCACTATCGATTAGTTTGCTTTCTAGAGTTTATGTCCGTAAATGATGAACTTTTCGTCTGGATTTTTTCAGCATAACTATACTGAGATTCACCCGTATTGTTAAATGTGTTAATAAGTCACTTATTTTTCTGGATGTGCAGAATCCCACTGAGTGGATATTCCACTTCTGTATTTAACCACTCATTTGTTGATAGATGTTGGGTTGTTTTCAGTTTGGGGCTATTCCCTAGAGCTGTTATTAACATTCTCGTACACGTAGAGTGGAAATACGCTTTTGTTTATCTTGAATAAATACCCAAGCATGGAGTGTCAGATCATATGACAGGAGTACATTTAATGTTTGAAGAAACGGACAAATTGTATCTCCAACTGTTTTGCAAAATGGGACTTTTCCTCTGCAATGGCAGTGTATGAAGGCTCCAGTCCAGTTTTCTCTTGTCCTCTCCGGTACCTGGGAGGGCCAGGCTTTGAGCTTTAGCCACTCTGGCAGGTGTGCAGCAGAATCCCACTGCAACTTTGGTTTTCATTGACTTGGCGGCTGATGAACTTGGACATCTTGTCAACCACAAACACTCTCTGACAGTGGATCTGCTCAAATCTTTTGAAATCTCTCTCTCTCATTCCAAGGAGATGTAAGACCTTTATCATACAGGATTTGCATATATTTTCTCCCAGCCCCAGGCCTATCTTTTCATTACTTTAACATGGTTGTTTTTATTGACTGATTGATTGAAAACCAGAACTGTTTCACCTTGATGAGGTCCAGTTATCCACACTCTCCTTTATGGACTGTGGTCTGGATGCCATAGCAAATACGCCTTTGCCTCAAAGTCACAAAGATACTTTCCTGTTTTTTTCTAGAATTTTTAGTTTTAGGTTTTATTCTTAGGTCTATCACCCTTTTTGCATTAATCTCTATATGGTACAAGATATGGGTCAAAGGTTTAATTTGTTTTTGTTTTGCTTCGCTTTGTTCTTGCATATAGATATTCAGTTGTTCCAGAATCATTTGTTGGAAAGACTATTCAAAAACTCAGTTGTGCTTTTGTACACTAAACAAATTATCTGAAAAGGAAATTAAGAAAATAGTCTCAGGTAGCTCACAGTCAAAAAAATGTGACAATGAATATACGTATGTTCATGTATAACTGACAAACTGTGCTCTGCATTGGAATTTGACACAATATTGTAAAATGACTATAACTCAATAAAAAATGTTTAAAAAATAAAGAAAGAAAGAAAATAGTCCCATTTACAAATGACTCAAAAATAAAAATAATAAAAATGAAATTGTGTAGATAAAATATGAGCATAATTTGAAGATTTCTAGAGATAGCCATAGATAGCATACGAGATGTCGGGAGAGATACAAAGAAAACACTGAAATCTGAGTTATGCTGCAGCTCTCGTAGCACAGGTTCACTCTGGGTCTTGGACGAACCAAAGCTCATTTTGCTTTTCCCGATTTTCCTCAGGTTTTGGATCACTAGCTTCACTTTTGAATTGACAATTTCAGTTTAAAATATGTAATTACTACTAGATTCTTTATACTATGCTGGATGCTTTATCAAATTAATAGAACATAATTAAATTAATTAGTTAAGAACTTCTTATGCGAACATTTTCACTGCTCTTCTGAATGAAGAAAATAAAAATATTTGATACAAATTTACAAGCAGAGAATATTTCTATTTTTTCCCCATTTTTCAGCAGCCCCCAAATTTGAAAGAATGAATTGAAAGAAACACTTTCAGGATCAAAGTTTAAATCACAGGTTTCTTTTTATTCTCCCTTGATCATATCAGCTCAATTTTGATTCCTCCTATTTGCTGAAGTTTCCGGATAGTCACTGAGGAACAAATTCATTCTGGACACATTACTATATGGCTCATTACTAACCTGAACCCACTGAGAAATTCCACTCTCCAGAAGTGTTCTTTGGCTTTCTCTTCTTTTGGTTTTTAATTTTTGCTTGTATATGTTGTGATTCTTAGTTTTATGTGTCATCTTGACTGGGCCACGGGGAGCCCAGACATTTGGCCAAACACTATTGTGTAGGTGTCTGTGAAGGTATTTTGGTGGGATTAACATTCGAATTTGTAGACTAAGTAAAGCAGATTGTTCTCTCTGTTGTGGGTGGGCCTCATCCGATCAGTTGAAGGTGTGAACAGGACAAAAATTCTGAGCCTCCCTCATAAGGGAATACTTCTGGCCTGGCTATCTTTGAATTGGGACATTGGCCCTTTTGGACTTGACTAAAACATCAACTCTTCCTGGGTCTCAAGTTCCTGGCCTCCAGACTGGAAACACAGCCTCCACTCTCCTGGTTTTAGGCCTTCGGACGAGGACTGGACCTGAACTATCAGCTCTCCTGGGTCTCCGGCTTGATGGCTGCAGGTCCTGAGATGTGTGTATCTCCAGAATCCTGCAATCCAATGCCTTATAATCAATCTTTCTGGGTGAATGTACCTCCTATTGGTTCTGTTTCCCTGGACAACTCTGACTAACACATGAGTTTTGCCAAGACCTCTTTGAAACAATCCAGAATTGAGTATTCCCCACTCAAGACCCCTCCCACACCCCACTTGCCTCCCACTGTCAGCTCACCTGCAGGACCACTCTGACTCTAAGCTCATCTGTGGGTTGCTGGAGATCAGGGGCTCCGTTTCACTGGCCGGTGATCTCCAGGAGAACAGGGGCCCAGGAGGGCAGGGCTGGTCTGTCCGCCTCACCAGCCAGGGCTGCAGCTGGAAGCCCATGTCCCAGTGACCATCCCTAGGCCAGCAAAGGGAGACATCAGCAGCATGGCTGGGGTTGTGGAGTGGGACAGACAGACAGAGTGATGGATCCCTGTCTAGCAGACAGCTAGGATCAGGAGTTCCAGGGTGACTCCTGGCCCTGACTTGAGGAGCTGGGTCCTCTGTGAGAGGTGGGGGTGAGGAAGTGGGGGCACCAGGCCTCCTCTGTGGACGTGGGTTTAGAGCCGATGGAGCATGTCAACGGAAGTCAGACAGATGAATTTAAAGCCAAACCGACAGAGTCTGGCTGGGGTGAGGGCTGAACGCAGACAGGGTGAGTGAGCCTGGAGGCAGGGAGGCCGGCCCGGAGGAGGCTGGAGGAGGCCTGACCCCAAGGGCTGAGCCCCAAGTAGGGGGACACAGGCAACAGCCCAGGGAAAGGGTCCCACATACTCGGGAAGGCCTCCTGGCCAGAGCGGGCATTTCCCTGACTCTGGGCACCCACTGTTGGAGTCAGGTCTCCGTGATCCCCAGGGTCCTCGACTAGACCCTGGGCCTGCAGCCCGTGGGGACCTGTGTCTGTTCACGGGGACTCCGAGGGTCTGAAAAGCAGAGAAGGCAGGGAACCTGCAGGGATTTGGCACTTTGTAGCCCAGAAGGGCCGACGGGAGGAGAGCAGAGGGCTGGGCCTGACACCGCCCTGGGCTCCCTCCAGCAACACCCACCAGTGAGGGCTTGAAGCCACGGGGTCCATCAGGTCGGGTCCCTACTTCCTAAGGACCCCCACCACGTGCAGAGGGGGCTCCCGGGGGGACCGCCCTACACCTGCCGTCCTTGTCAGAAGAACACAGACCGCGGGGCCCGCTCAGAACTGGGTTCCGACTCGGTGGGTTTTGTGGCCGCCTCAGGTCCCAGGGGAGAGGCCAGGACCCGAGGAGGGCCCTGACAGCTTCAGGGAGCTGGCTCGGGCTGGAACCTGGGCTCCCTGCTCCCCCCATCAGATTCCGTGGCCTCTCCCGCGGCTGCCGTGCCTCGGCGCGCCCAGGGCCGGGAGGCTGCCTCCCCAGCCCCGGCCCAGCGTTTCTGCTGTGGGGGCTGCTCCGCTCACACCAAGAATGGAAATAACTCGTGACCTCATCCCGCCTGGCCCCTGTCCACGTGAGCTTTCCTTCAGGAATCTCCTCCTGCTGTCAGCCCCGGGCAGGCTCACAGAGGAGCCACACACTGTTGTTTCTCCTCTGTTGTGGGTCAGGGTAGAGCGAATTCCCGGAACCCTCCGCCCACAGGAGGGGCGAGAAGCCCTGCGCTTACTCACGCCGGGGTCAGGCTAAGAGGAAACAGATGGTTGCAGCTGTGACAGCTCCCACCTAGTGGCTCCCAGCTCCCGGCTCTGGGTCCTGAGACTGAGGTGGTTCTGTGACACCATGCTGGGCACAGGACAGTGAAGTCTGGATGGTCCCCGGTGCCCAGCCCTCGCCTCCAGACCCCATCGGTTTCCACAGGGACCCAGGGCCCTTCGGGGGTGGGGGCATCCTGGGCTGACCCTCCTCCAATCCATGCAAACCTCACTTACTCAGAGTTTTCGCCTGGAAAAGAACAGAGAAGTCGTTTCATGTGTTCATTTGTGAACCCGCTGGTTCATTCTTTAACCTCAGAGGAACCAAGTCCCCCATACAGAGCAGGGGGGCTGCTGAGTCCTGCCCTGTCAGGCCCCAAGCATCTCTGCCAACTGTCACCTCTGGCCACGTCAGCATGGGGGCTGGACTCTGTTCTGCCCGGGGCTTCTTCTGGTCCTCCTCTGCCCACCTTCAGTTCCTCATGCAGGGCCTTTCCTGGGACAACTCGCCCACCACGGGTGCTCTTCCCAGAGGTCACGGGAGTCAGCTCACGTCCCGTCTCCTAAGGAGTCTCCCTGGCTCCCCTTCGGAAGAAACCTCTTCTCTGGAGCCCCAGCAAGGTAGTGCCTCCGGCCAAGCGCTCCTCTGAACGTGGTCCTACTTACAGTCTGTTCTCACCAACCACGAGGCACCGCCACTTCCTCACCCCGTGTGTTCTTGAAACGCTCAGCAAGCAGGGCTCTGTCTGAAAGCTCGCCTGGTGAATGGATGTCACATGGGTGAGCAGATGAAGGAAGGCGTTCACAGCACTGTCGGGGTCCAAATGTCTGCTTCTGGCCCCAGGGACAGCCAACCTGTAAGCAAAGAGAGGTGAGCTGGTACATTAGCAATTATACACGGAAAAGTCCTCAAGGGAAAATGGGCTGTATATTCTTCCTTAGAGTTTGAGAAAACATCGCTTTAGTTACAGAGTCCACATTTTTACATTCAGATGACGCCGGTACCACCAATTAGCTGACCGAAAAGTGAGACGTCTTACTTTGAACAAGGCACATACATTCTTTGAGTCAAGTTTCTTTTTTCTCCATACACCAGACATGGATATCATCTAACTGGCAAGAAATGAACAGTTGCCACAAACAAAGGCTTTGGGAAAACACAAGAAGTGAGCAAAGATTATGGTCCCACTGGGTTCCAGTGCCTCCTCTTGCCCTGCCCCACCCTCTGTACACTGGACCCCCACAACGGACAGCTGTATGGTTGGCTCCATGTGTGCCTGCTGTCCTCTGTGGCCCCCGCCCTGACAAGGACCCAGGGGTCATGGGTGCAGGTCCCTGAGCAGTGTCACCCTGTCAGAGCCCAAGGTGGCTTAGAGCTACATCCACGCACAGTCTCCGAGCAGTCTTCAGCTGAGGCTTGACTTGTCACTGCTGTGTGCATGGCTGCCCAGGGACCTCGGGTGCCGTCTGCCCAAAACCAGCCTGTGCAGGGACCTGCATGTTCGCTTCTGTCCACTGACCATCCTGGTCTTGGACGATGCCTCGCCCTCTCCCCTGTCCACCCTATTCCATCCACCCATTGCTGTCTGCCCCCATCTCCGTCCACCCCCCCCTTTCTGTCCACAGTCCACTCTGGCCGTGGGGGCCTTGGGGGATGTGTGAGTTCTGGGAAGCAGCATGAGGTCTGACTGCGGCCACTGTGTTCACTTCTTGAGTCTCTATCCTACAGGACCCCCCTCACCCCCACATCAGGCTGTCCTGCTAAGGGAGCATGGAAGCTGACTGTGGGTTGTTCATGCCGCTGGGACAGCCTGGGCCGCACCCTGGGTGCCCCGAGGGACAGGCTCTCCTACGGGGTCCAGACTGACCCGAGGAAGTAGAACGTGGCTGAGAATAAATTCTCCCAACCCTGTTTCTCAGTCATCTAACTGGATTTGCGGACTTCCTTTTCGATGAAATGCCCTGTTTTGGCACGTGGTAAATTAATTCATCCGTATGCCTCCATCAGTCCCCAGACTGCTTCCACCCACTATCCTTCGCTGCCTGACCGCTACCCACGTGCTTCAGAAATACCGTTCTCGCTTGGGGTGATGCGAGCCACACTGGAAGCGTGCAGCTCCGATTCTTCCTCTTGAGCAAAAAGCGAGCGTTCCAGC